GGTCTAGCCGTCTGACCACTGTACTCAGGGGCTGAAGAACTTGGTTCTCACCTGGAATCTGCTTTTAGTCAGAATTCTTTTGGTAGTGACTTAAACATCAGTGGGGCTCGGTGGGGACTGGGTGTGAGGGGTGGCTGGGAGTGAGCGCTGGGAAGTAGAATGCTGTGATGGCCTTGGTCTCCTTGCATCTTGCTTCTCTCTGAGGGTGCCAGGCCGGGATGTTCCATGTGGCTGGGGACTGGCCTGGAGCCATGATTCAAGAAGAAAAGGTGGTGGCCTGTGCTGTAGGCTAAGCCCCTGCCTAAGGTACCAGCATCCCATGTGGGTGCCTCCCTCTAAGATTGGCATGAATGTTCCCAGGGGTGGACGGAGCCTGGCTCTAGTTCACCTGCTCACCTTGAACTCTTCGTTGTGGACAGGAAGGCCATCACTGGGGCAAAGGGCATAGCCCGCTCCCGGGATGGGGCAGTCGGGAGGGAAGACTTCAGGGTGGGAGCCCCCCTAATAGTTGGCTGTAGGGGTGAAGCGAGGGGCTTTCCCAGATGAGGGGAAAAAGCGCTGCATAAAACAGCCCCGTTGTCCAGGAGCCTCTGCTACTATCCAGACCCGGGACTCCTGCGCCACCCCACACCTCAGTTTTCACCCACAAAGTGAGACATGCGGATTGTTCTGCAGCTCAAAGACATGACGGTTTTTCCTGAAAATCAGACACTCTTCTCCTCATTCCTTTTAATCATGCACGAGAAACCAAATAGCACAAGCTCACGATGGGAAAATCGTGATCCCACATGTTAAATAAGACAGGTGGAAAAGGGCAACCTGCCCCCGGGGATCGCTCAGCAGGTGAAGTGTATTCCTGTAGCCACTGTTGCACACTCTTCCTACAGCCCCCTTTATCCCCTAAGGAGGGCTGTGACTGTGAGAAGCTGGAGCCGAGGGCACACAAGCATGCATTCCCGCGGTGCCAGCTGGTCGCGGAGGGCAGCCTTGTGAGCTTTCTGGGCCCCAGCTCCACATCTACCAGTCAGCTGGATGACGTTGTCTGCAGGTGCAGCTGCGGCTGGCTGTATACGCAGTAAGGGGAGCGCCTCACCTACTTCCCTGACCTTAATCACGTTGTCATTGTCTTGTGGAAGTATAAGAGTTGCATGGCATTAAAATCTAGCCCAGGACCGTCCTCAGCAGCCCTTACTTTCTGAGTTTTTCTCCTTTTACGCAGCTACAGTTCAAAGAGCAAAGCTCTCAAGGTCTCATTAGTATTTCTTCTCCACCTCTTCCCATCCCTTCTCACATCGTCATATTCTGTTTCCCATCTTCCTGCCTCCAGTGTTGGCCATTGATATTAGACTAGCATCTGTTTGTTATTTATATCAAAGCTTTTGAACCAAGCCAGAAGCCAAGGCTGAGTCGGGGAGCAGGGGTAATTGAGACAGTGAGCAAGAAATTGTGCTGGGTAGAATTGGAACGGAACCAGATTTTAAATTTTGTTGCTGGTTATGCCCTTAGGCCTTACTCGGTGAGGATGGGCTTCCCCTCCTCTGGATGGGCACAGAGGCAGTCTGTGTGCCTGATTCCTTCAGCTCCCCAGAGCCTGCTCTCCGCCGTGGGAGGCTGACCTGCACGGATTACATCAGGATGTCCCACACCCTTGGAGCCCACTGAATCTGCATAATGCGAGGTACAGCAGGCAACTGGAGGGAGGGAGACAGTGCAGTGAGCGAATTCAACCTGCTGCCTCCATCCCCTTAGGGCCATCTCAGCTGGCCACATCCCTACACAGAAAGGCAGGCCTCTCGAGGTGGCCTGTGTGCACAACTCATTGTCCTTTGGGCTTCTAGCAGCTTCTCCTGGCATCCCTGTGGGTTGAGGGAGAATGGTGTTGGCTCCAATGTTGTGTGAAAGTGAAAGGAGGGGGGGCCAGCACCGTGGTGCACTAGCTTAATCCTCCGCCTGCGGTGCCAGCATCCCTTATGGGCGCTGGTTCTAGTCCTGGCTGCTCCTCTTCCGATCCCACTCTCTGCTATGGCCTGGGAAAGCAGTAGAGGATGGCCCGAGTCCTTGGGCCCCTGCACCTGCATGGGAGAACCAGAAGAGGCCCCTGGCTCCTGGCTTCAGTTCAGCACAGCTCCAGCCATTGCAGCCATCTGGGGAGTGAACCAGGAGATGGAAGACCTCTCTCTCTCTCTCTCTTTCAAATAAATAAATATATAAATACATCTTAAAAAAAAAAGAACTCTGAGGATAAACTTTCTCACACAGACTTTGATGTCTCATTTTTGCTTCACCTTGGAGTCTCAGCCAAAACGTCAATCTTAACATACATAATAGATTATTATACCTGACTTTAACTGATAGTATAAGAGAGCAAAGCAATAGTTCAAACTGGCTTCCACAATAAAGAGAACTGAGCTGAGCGCTCAGTTCCCCTGGGGCTCCCTCAGCTCCACGGCTCTCCATGTTTACAAGGTGCTTGCTTCCCAGATCCTGGGGACAAAGAGGCCATCTCTTTTGGAGCAGGAGTCCCGAGGTCTACTGATCGGATGACTTAGGTCAAGCTGCTATGGTGAGTCAGCTCCCGTGGCTGGGGTGGGGGTGGGGGATCACGTGCTCTCTGGTTTAAGTCTGGGTAGGTGCTGCCCCTGCACCAGTCACTGTGGGAGAAGGGTTGAGACCTGGGGGCCTGTTCCTGGAACTGTGATGATGAAGCACTTGGACTCAAGCTTACTGGAATCGCCTACTGCAGAAGGAAGAGAGGGGAAGGGCGGGGATGGCAGTTTGCATCTCACTGTATCCTCACATAACACAGGGCTTTGTGGCTACCAAAGTATTTTACATTTATAATATGGACAGAGTAACTCCAAAGTTACTGCCCACGCACCTAAGGAACTCACGTGGTGTGTCAGTGTGGTGCCAGTGTGCTTAAAAACAGCACAGGAGGTGGTGGGTTCTAGTCCCGGTCAGGGCGCCGGATTCTGTCCTGGTTGCCCCTCTTCCAGGCAAGCCCTCTGGCCTGAGAGTGCCAGGGAGTGCAGTGGAGGATGGCCCAAGTGCTTGGGCTCTGCACCCACATGGGAGACCAGGAGAAGCACCTGGCTCCTGCCATCGGATCAGCGCGGTGCGCTGGCCGTGGCAGCCATTGGAGGGTGAACCAACGGCAAAAGGAAGACCTTTCTCTCTGTCTCTATCCACTCTGCCTGTCAAAAACAAAACAAAACAAAAACAGCACAGGAAGGTCAGGCTTGACTCCACAAAAGCAGGGGGAGACGAGAACTCAGTGGTGGGATAAAGCCCTTTCTTCCGATCAGAAGCTAGTCAACAGGAACAAACTGCCTCTCCAAAAGCCTGCAAAGCATCAAAGGACGCAGTACGGAGCCTTATCCGAGGTGGCCTGGCAGGGCTGTTCATCTATCCAAACCAGGGCCCCAATAGCTAACAGCAGCGGGGTGGGAGAACGCAGGTGCTCATCTTGCAATGCCCAGAGCAAGGAGCCAGGCAGCTCGCGTTCACTCCGAATGGATAAACGGTGCGAGTCTCCCAAAGCCGAGGCTGAGCAGCGAGTGTGCGGCTCACGGGTGGGCTTCTGGCTGGTCCGCAGTGCTCAGGGCCTTCCTTTGACTGGTCAGCACAGCTTTCTTTTTTTTTTTTATTTTTTTGACAGGCAGAGTGGACAGTGAGAGAGAGACAGAGAGAAAGGTCTTCCTTTGCTGTTGGTTCACCCTCCAATGGCCGCCGCGGCCGGCGCGCTGCGGCCGGCGCACTGCGCTGATCCGATGGCAGGAGCCAGGAGCCAGGTGCTTTTCCTGGTCTCCCATGGGGTGCAGGGCCCAAGGACCTGGGCCATCCTCCACTGCACTCCCTGGCCACAGCAGAGAGCTGGCCTGGAAGAGGGGCAACCGGGACAGAATCCGGCGCCCCGACCGGGACTAGAACCCGGTGTGCCAGCGCCGCAAGGCGGAGGATTAGCCTAGTGAGCCACGGCGCCGGCCCAGCACAGCTTTCTGAACCCACTGTGCCAGTAAGGTGGGCTCGGGCTGTCTGGGGTCTGTAGTGAGCCTGGTCATTGCCTTATTTGATCAGGGCCTGGCGTCCCCCAACGCATCCCGAAACAGAGTCCAGCTGTTAGGATGTTAACCACAGAGGTGACAACGGAATTCTGGGACTGTGACCTGGGATCCTGAGGGTGAGCCTGCCCCCTGCACCACCCCTTTAAGTTAGTGAGCTTGCTCTGTCGTAAGGAGTTGACCTGTGAGCCCCACAGTGAAGACACAGGGACAGCGAGCCGAGGTGCCTGATGTTAGCGACAGAGGATGGGTTTCCGCCTTTGCTGCCCCCGCTGAAGAGCTGGTCCCCATGCAAGAGTGAGGAGCTTCCGGTTCCATGACCGGCCACCCTGCCGCTGCCCTCCCCTTCCCGTGCCACGCCAGCCCGAGCCATCAGGCTCCCTCCAGGACCTTGTCCCAGGAGTTACATGGCAAAAAGAAACCCTGCTTTCTGCCCTTCAAGGAAAGCGGGCCCCCCAGGAGCAAACCACAGCAGCGGAAATTACACACAACGTAATCTGCCAATCTACAATGAACAGGGGGCGGAGCTTCCGCACGCGTCTACAGGTACACTCTCAAGCCAAACCCCTCCTCACCCACCCGGAAGCCGAGCAGGTGGGGGCCCCCAGGTGACCACTGGGCTCGCGAGGCCGTGGGAGGCTGGCGCGCGCTCCTACAGACCATTGTGAAGGCGTGGCCGAGACCTTCGCAATTTAACAGGGAGCCCGTCCCTTTCTCCATCAAGCCGCTCCTTATGTAGGAGGTAAACCCAAAGCCCCCATCTCCAACAGCATCAACTTCCGCAGGCTGGAAAACCTGGCGCATGCGCAGTGACCGCCGGCTCGGCCCAATCCCACGACGAGCATGCGCACTAGAGGCGGCGTGCGTCCCCGCCCCTCAGTTCTCGGCTGCGGCCGCCACCGCCTAGGCCCGTCCGCGCATGCGCACGCACAGGGGGCGTGGTTTTCTCCCTGGACGCTCCGGGCGCGGGCGATTTGTACGTAATGGCGGGCGCCTGGTCGCCGGATTGCGGCGCAGGGTACTCCTGCCCTCGCCGTGGCCGTGACGGCAGGGCCAAGTGGAGCGAGTCCTCGTTGTTAGGCAGGCGGCTCTCGGAGGACTCGAGCCGCCACCAGCTGCTGCAGAAGTGGGCGAGCATCTGGAGCTCCACGAGCGGGGAGGCGTCGGAGGTCGGGGCGGAGAAGGCGCCGCGCCAGGCGCCGGCGGAGGAGGAGGAGGAGAGGCCGCTCGTGTTCCTGTGCTCCGGTTGCCGGCGGCCGCTCGGCGACTCGCTGAGCTGGGTGACCAGCCTGGAGGACGCCAACTGCATTCTGCTGCGCTGTCGGTTCTGGCTGGGGGCCGGCGCGGCGCGGGGTGGGGGGCGGCCGTCTCCTCAGGTGCACCGCACCTGGGCGGCCCCGTAGCAGCAGGGGCTCGGGTCCCTGCGCCTCGCGCAGTTCCCGAGCGACAGGTGCTTCTCCTGGGGGTGGGGTCCCCCATCTCAGAAGAGCCAGGAGCAGATGACCGATCGGGCCGTGATGGTTTCGGGGTGCTGCCCGCCCAGGGCGCGGGGCTTGGCTGCGGGAGTTAGCGGGCGCCCAGGTAGCGAACAGTACCGTCGGGGGTTGAAGAAGCTGAGTTTTCAGCTAGGAGTTAGGTCGGCGCGAGTTTCCCCTTTGTTTCGGGTTCGACCCTTTCCTTGTGGGTTTTGTGGGTTTTGGGGGGAGGTCTTTCCGCTTCTGAAGTTCTCCCGAATGGGCGCAGAAGGAGCGTTCTCCGCGGGCTTGGGGTTTCCCCGAGGCAGTTCGGCTCTGCTCGCATCCTGTAAGCATTTCGATGGCGCCAGCTCAGTGGTGGTTGGGCGATCGGTGCCGACGGTGGCCGCGTCCCTGGACAGCCAGCCTAGGCACGCCCTGGCCGTGTGGTCCGTCGAGGTGACTCCTTTGCGCCTGTTGAAATCAACAGTGCAGACGGCTGTAAGTGCGAAGGGCGTGTCGCACTTCCCGTAGTCTCTGTATGTGTCCGGATGCATTTCTTGCCCTGGTGAGCATCTTTGAACGCGTGAAATTCTGAAAACACTCGCGGTTGCGTGCTAGGAACTGCCCTTGTTTTTCCCCGCACGCGTACTCTGAATACTTTGCCACGCTAGGGTAGCGACTTTGTCAAAAGGCACTGCCCCTGCCGCTGGCTGGTTGTGAGGGTGACTGAGTTAGTGTCTGTCGTTTGCACAGAGCGAGCGCCAGGTGCCGCTTACACACGCCCTAATCCACCCCGGCCGTCTCTGGATGGGGTCTAGGTTGCGTCCAGCTTATACTGGGGTTGAGATTTTCGATGTAGGAGAAGCTCTTTTTCATAGGTGGATTTGTCTTTCTGGCTTTTTAAGAAATAATATGTGAAATATTTTATTTGTACTTTGTTTTTATAGCTTTTTTTTTTTTGACAGGCAGAGTGGACAGTGAGAGAGAGAGACAGAGAGAAAGGTCTTCCTTTGCCGTTGGTTCACCCTCCAATGGCTGCCGTGGCTGGCGCACTGCGCTGTTCCGATGGCAGGAGCCAGGTACTTCTCCTGGTCTCCCATGGGGTGCAGGGCCCAAGCACCTGGGCCATCCTCCACTGCACTCCCTGGCACTCCCAGGCCAGAGAGCTGGCCTGGAAGAGGGGCAACCGGGACAGAATCTGGCACCCCGACCGGGACTAGAACCCGGTGTGCCGGCGCCGCAAGGTGGAGGATTAGCCTAGTGAGCCGCGGCACCGGCCTGTTTTTTATTAGCTTTTTAAAAAATTAGCCACACAGGCTTTTTTTTTTTTTTTTTTCTTTTTTTATATTTATTTGAAAGGCAGAGTTAGAGGGAGAGAGACAGAGAGAGAGAGAGAGAGATCTTCCATCTGCTGGTTCACTGCCCAAATGGCCACAGTGGCCAGAGCTGAGCTGGTCTAGAGCCAGGAGCTTCTTTAGGGTCTTCCGTGTGGGTGCAGGGGCCCAAGCGCTTGGGCCTTCGTCCGCTGCTTTTCCAGCCCATTAGTAGGGAACTGGATCATATGGACCGGCGCTCATATGGGATGCTGGCATCCTAGGCGGTGCCTTTACCTGCCTCACCACAGCGCCAGCCCCAGGGCTGTTTATTTTGTTTTATATATAAAAATAATATTTCTTCTATAGTGTTTTTAAAAAGTATTTGAGAGAGAGAAGGGGAAGGGAGAGAGATATCTTCCATTTGCTGGTATACGCCCCGTCTGGCTGTAGCGGCCAGGACTGAGCCAGGCTGAAGCCCGGCACTTCATCTGTATCTTCCATGCGGTGCAGGGGCCCAAGGACTTGGGCTGTTTTCTGCTTTTCCTGAGCCCTTAGTAGGGAGCTTGATTGGAAGTGGAGCAGCCGGGACTCGAACCGGCTCCCGTATGGGATGCCGGCTTCGCAGGTGGCAGCTTTACCTGCTGTGCCACAATGCTGGCTCCTACTAAGTTTGTATAAGGTTCTTGATTCACCAGCTTTGGCTAACTGCCCCCTTTCTCACCTCCCTCCTTCTTGGATTAATTTGCATTCCTTCTTGCCCCGGTTTGATTTAGTTTATTGTTGTCGCTTTTTCAAGGCTTATAGCATCTGCGTTCAGTCTTGTAGCCATAACGTGGTCTTTAGCTTTAATGTGTACAGGACTGCCTTTGTCACCCCAGTACTCACTCCTTGCGTGTATATGAAAGTTTATTAGTGGCCGGCGCCGCGGCTAATCCTAGGCTAATCCTCCACCTGCGGCGCCGGCACACCGGGTTCTGTCCCAGTTGTTCTCTTCCAGGCCAGCTCTCTGCTGTGGCCCGGGAAGGCAGTGGAGGATGGCCCAAGTGCTTGGGCCCTGCACCCCATGGGAGACCAGGAGAAGCACCTGGCTCCTGCCATCGGATCAGCGCGGTGCGCCAGCCGCAGCGGCCATTGGAGAGTGAACCAACGGCAAAAGGAAGACCTTTCTCTCTGTCTCTCTCACTGTCCACTCTGCCTGTCCAACAGAAATTAAAAATATAAAAAAAAAAAGATAAAGTTTATTAGCAGCGTTCCCATTCCTCAGTTAGGTAATTGTCGGTAGTAGTCCACCCTTCCCTCCTGCCTCCCTCATCGCTGTGATAATGTGACGTTTGAGCGCTTGGAAAGGTCTTGATTGGCCTTGTGCACGGATGCCCACTCAGGGGCGTGTACAGTCCTTGGACCCTGCTCTTTGCTTTTCTGAGAAACAGCTTGTGTAGAGGGCCTGAGGCTAGTGTGGCCGAAGGTCAGAGGAAAAATAAGGATGGAGGGAAGAGGCTGGAAACTCAGGGCCTTGTAGGCTGCTCTGAAAGACAGGACTGCGTTCTGGTGTGCAGGGGAGAGGTAATGATCCCCTTTGGAGAAGGCATTGGAGGAGGAGCTAGTGGGGTTGTCCTTGCAAGAGGTGGCACCAGTGGTTTGGTGGCAGTGGAGGGAGACTTGTGAGACGGAATGGACAGACCTACCTGTGGGGTGCATGTAGGGGGGGAAGGATGCGGGGAGGAAGGACCCAGAAAGACAGCAGCCGCGTGGATGAAGGTGCAGCTTGCCGAGCTGAGGCAGGAGGAGGCCTGTAGGCAGAGGTGACAGCAGGCGTATGTTTTTGGTCCCTTTATGCCTGGTGTCTCTTCTTGGTCTCCTTCTGGCCTCCTGTCTCCCCTCTTTCCTGTGTCTCGGGCAGGATCCTCCAGGAATCTGCTGCTTCTGGGGTCCAGCTGTACCCCCTTCCCCCGTCCAAGTCGTGGTCCCCGTGGAGGATGTTTGGCTGGGGTCCTGAGGGCCCTTGTGGTTGCTTTTAGGGACTCGAGCTCTGCCCTTGGGATCTGCAGGTGCGTGCACTGGCTATGCGCTGCTGCCTTGCTCCCACTGGGACGTGTGTCAGGCAGAGCTTCCTTGTAGTCTGTGGTTTCAGGTCCTAGTTGTTCCAAGTCCCGCCGCGGATTGAATTTTCCATGCTGGTTCTGCTCACCAGTCCCAGTGTTCTTCTGGGAAGGGAAGCAAATAACTCCTCTAATGCCGTCTTTTTCCAGAAAAATCACTGTGCATTTCCTTTGCACCCAACTTGTATGTGTCCGCGCGTGTGTGTGTGTGTGTGTGTGTGTACATGTGACTTTGGGCTCCTATTTTTTCTGGTGCTTTGTGTTCTAAACGTTGATTAGAAGCTCTGAATGTCTGCATATGTGTTTTAACATAACGTGTTGTTGCTTCCTCTAGGTGTTTCCTGTAACGTTTCTGTGGATAAGGAGCAGAAGCTCTCCAAACGTAAAGATGAAAATGGCTGGTGAGTCAGGCCGTCTGGGCGGGAGCATGTGCTTAGAGAAGGTGTGCTCCAAGGAACTCTTCCGTCGCGACCAGCGTCAGAACTTGGGATCAAACTGATTTCCTGGTCGTCAGGATAAAGTCAGTACTCAGATTCATCAGTTCAGCGGGGTGGTGCCCTGTAGACAGTGAGGTGGAAGTCTGGTCGTCAGGATAAAGTCAGTACTCAGATCCATCAGTTCAGCGGGTGGTGCCCTGTAGATAGTGAGGTGGAAGTTTCTAGATTCCTCAAGGCCTGGCTGACGCTCCCCGTTTGGATCTTCGGGCTGAGCGCAGAAGAAGGAGGCGTCTGTTCTGTGAAGTCCCTGTCAAAAGGCGCCCCGGCCCAGCGCACGGTCTTGGTAATTGTGTGTGGCCACTGCGGTAACCAGGAGGCTTGACGTGGAACGTGGAGCTTCGCCGTTAGCTGCCCGGGTGCAGGCCGGGTTCCCTACTTGGAGTTTACTTATAAGATGCTCTTCTTTTTCTTGTTTTTCTTTTATAAAGGTTTATTAAAGCTCACAGAAGCTTCATATATAATTGGTGGGATATTATCTAGCTATTACATTACCAGTGAGAACTTGTAATTTATCAGATAGTGATTCATGTTGCTCTGTTGCTACAGGAGTTCAGAATGTCCCTGTGTGTCTGTAGGTGAACAGTGATGTGTGTGGAGTCTGCTGTTTGAGTCCGGGGTGTTTCCTTTTGCTTGATCAAGGAACTGGTAGGCAGTGATTACAAGTGGCTCACGTCCTGAGTAGGAGTTAGAATACTTATCTGATGATTTTTTTGAAAGATTTATTATTTGAGAAGCAGAGTGACAGAGAGGAAGAAATATCTTCTATTCGCTGAGTGGTGTCTTCCATCTGCTAGTTCACTCTCCAAAGGCCTGCAATAGCTGGGCTAGGCCTGGCCAAAACCAGGAGCCAGGAACTCCACCTGGGTCTGTGAAGTCCTGTCATGAACCCAGGTACTTCTGCCATCATCCACTGCCTTTTAGGTGCATTAGCAGGCAGTGCGGAGTACCAGAAGGCAGCGTAGCCAGCCACACCAGGCTCCGATACGGGATGCCGGCTTCCCAAGCGGTGTTGTAACCCGCTGCACCCCAGTGTCAGCCCTACAAAATAGTAATCTTCTGTGTAGTCCACCTGTGCGCTTCCTACTAGATTTCAGTCTCCAGTCGTGGGGCCAGTGTTATAGTGCAGGGGATTAAGCAGTAGCCTTGGTGCTGATCCCATATCAAAGTGCCAGTGGGGTTGGTGTCTCGGCAGCTCTACTTCTGATCCAGCTCCTACTAATGCATCTGGGAAAGCAGTAGATGATGGGCCAAGTACAAGGGCCTGGCACCCGCGTGGGAGACCTGGAAGAAGCTCCCGACTCCTGGCTTCAGATCGGTGCAGCTCCAGCCGTTGTGGCCAGTTGGGGAGAGAACCATCGGATGGAAGACCTCTCTCTCTCTCTCTCTCCCTCTCTCTGTCTCTGTCTCTCTCTCTCTCTGTGTAACGCTGACTTTCAAATAAATAAATAAATCTTTAAAAAAAAAAAGAAAAAAAGGCCCCTGCCATGCATGTGGGAGAGCAGAACAGAGTTCTATCTAGCTCCTGGCATCAGCCTGGCCCAGAGCTGGTTGTTGCAGACATCTGGGGAGTGAACCAACCAATGGACAATCGTACCCATCCCCCATCCCCATCACTCTGCCTTTCAAGTAAAATTTTTTTTTTTAAGTCTGAGAAGAAAAATCTCCACTTATTAATTTGCTGTGTTAGGTCTAAAATTTTACTGTGGATTACTCACGCAGTGGCAAATTGAATGAGCCAAGTCAGCAAGGCTTTTTGGAAACGGTGATTCTGAGGCAGATTAAGGAAGACAGGTTGACAGGAAGGGAGTATATTCAGATGTTGCAAGCCAGGCTGAGGAGAGTCCAGGATGAAGGAACAAGTAAGTGGAGAGGCGGCGGGTCATGAAGTACGTGTGAGTGACCTGTGTGGGGCGTGCCTGGGGTTGCTGGGAGAGTGCTGGTGGTGAGTAGATCCTTTAACAGGCAGCTCTAACACACAGATCACAGGCACACATCCGAGACTTTTTAAAAACCCCTTAACGCGGGAGCCGGAAGCTGGTTCAGGGTCGGCAGATTGAGTTATGGCCCCTCAGCCTTTGGGGCTTGCTTTGCTACTCACAGGGATGGTTTGTGTCCCTGCCAGACTAAACTCACTTACGGTGCATTGGTGGGCTTTCTTCAGGCTGTCATTTACTTTAGAGGCTTTTTCTAAACTGGGCTGTGTTAGCTTTCTGCCAATGCGGGGGCAGGCAGAGGCCCTGGGCTGGATGCCTCTCTGTGAACCCAGGTGATTCAGTTCTGCAGTGTCTGTAAGCTGTTTCCGTGCCGTGATGGCAGAGGCCAGTAGTAAGGATTAGTTATTCTCTGCGTCATTACACAGGAGTTGCCTCTCCCTGCCGTTGTTGGGCTCCTTGGACAATGGCATTAAAAGGACGTGTAGAATCTTTTTGTCTTATTTCCCAATTTTCTTTATAATCAAAGAGTTTACATTCTTTATTTTTCTTAAGATTTATTTATTGAAAGATAGCATTACGGAAAGAGGGAGAGAGAGCTTCCATACACTGGTTCACTCCCCAATGGCCACAGCAGCCACGGCTAATTCAGGCTGAAGCCAGGACCTGGAACTCCATCCAGGTCTCCCATGTGAGTAGCAGGAGCCCAAGCATTTGGACCATTTTCTGCCACTTTCGCAAGCACATTAGCAGGGAGCTGGATTGGAAGTGGAGCAGCTGGGACTTGAACCTGCGCTCATATGGGATGCTGACATCTCAAGCGACAGCTTAACCTGCTGGGGCACAGCCCTGGCCGCAGAGTTTGCGCCGTAACACATGCACTTGATGGTCTCCTCCTCTTGTTGCCGTGTGCATGTTCCTGCCGTCAGATGTGGATGGCAGTGTGGCTGTCCTTGCATTTCTATTATAAATGTCTTACTCTCATTTTTTTCCTTCCTCATATGAATACATGTAACTAAACACGGTCAGAATGACAAACCCTGGAAACCTGAGTGTTGAAGCGTTTGTGGGTGCCAGCAGTGGGTGTTCTGTAGCAAGTTGCTGCTTTGCTTCCTAAAGCGGTGATATGTCTTTACGCAGCGTCCTCGAGACCCTGTACTGTGCCGGCTGCTCCCTCAACCTCGGCTACATATACAGATGCACCCCCAAGAGCCTTGATTACAAGAGGGACTTGTTTTGCCTCAGTGTCGAAGCCATTGAAAGGTAAGTTTGATGTTTAAGTGGCCACTGGGTAACTGACCTCTCAGAGAGTTAAGTTTGCAGAGAAATTGCTATGTAGACGTCAGAGCTAAACCACGCTTAAACGACATTTCCAGGTAGTACTTTCTGACAGTAAAGCCGGTTAATTTCTCTCTCTGTCTCTCTCTTTTTCTCTTTGCTTTGCTCTAATTTTTTGATATTGGAAAAATCAGCACTCCTAAATTGTGGCTTTTTTTTGGAGTAAAAATATGTTCTTTTTTGTTTGTTTGTTTTTTTAACAGGCAGAGTGGACAGTGAGAAAGAGACAGAGAGAAAGGTCTTCCTTTGCCGTTGGTTCACCCTCCAATGGCCGCCGCGGCCGGCGCACCGCGCTGATCCGATGGCAGGAGCCAGGTGCTTCTCCTGGTCTCCCATGGGGTGCAGGGCCCAAGCACTTGGGCCATCCTCCACTGCACTCCCTGGCCACAGCAGAGAGCTGGCCTGGAAGAGGAGCAACCGGGACAGAATCCGGTGCCCCGACCGGGACTAGAACCCGGTTTTGTGCCGGCGCTGCAAGGTGGAGGATTAGCCTAGTGAGCCGCGGCGCCGGCCTGTGTTCATTTGTTTTTAAAAATGGAATGAACTTGAGAAGGATTCTTTTTAAGTATTTTCTGGGGCTATGTCTCAGTGGTTAAGTTGCTGCTTGGGATGTCCCCAACCCGTAGGACAGGGCCTGCTTTAATTCTGATCCAGCTTCTTGCTGATGTAAACCCGGGAGGCAGTAGATGCTGGCTCAGGTACTTGGGTGGGTCCCTATTACCCATGTGGGAGACACAGACTGACTTCCAAGCTCCTGGCTTTGGCCTGGGCCAGCCCTGTGTGTTGCAGGCATTTGGGGAGTGAACAGTGGATGGAAGGTTCCTGTCTTTCTCTGCCTTTCAAATAAAATGAGAGTAATTTTTCTAGAAAGCGATATTGTGTTACAGAAGAAAATATGTGGGAGGTTTTACTGCAGGAGATCATGGTTGTCAAGGCTGTTTTTCCTGAATAGTTGATTTTAGGAGACAGGCTACTTCTTGGGCAGAATTTTTTTTAAAAAAATGAGTTTGTGTGTGTGTGTATTTTTTAGATTTATTTATTTGAAAGGCAAAGCCACAGAGAGAAGCAAAGCTACAGAGGGAGAGAGTGAGGAGAGAGAGAGATTCCATCCACTGGTTCACTGCCCGAATGGCTGCAAGGGCCAGGGCAGGACAAGGCCACAGCCAGGAGCCAGGAGCCCCATCTGGGTCTCCCACATGGATGCAGGAGCCTGAGGACTTGGCCATCTTCTGCTGCTTTTCCAGGTGCATTAGAGAGCCGGATCTCAAGTGGAACGTTAGGGACTAGCACCAGCACCCAAGTGGGATGCTGGATTTGCAGGTGGTAGCTTAACCCGTTATGCCACGGCACTGGCCCCTTGGGGTGGAATTGTAATGCCAGGGCTGCCCTCTGTGCCATTTATTTACAGTTTTATCAGTTGCTCGGTGCCATGTCATTTTCCCACTGCATCTTTGGTTTTCTAAGTAGGATGTCGGTTGCCTTCTGCAGTTTGCCTACCACGCTATTTTCCTCTGCCTTGCCAGGCATATTGGTAGAAAGCTGGAGCAGAGACAGAGCTGTGGGGACTCCTGCCAGCACTCTGCTGTGGGATGCCGGGAGCTGGCGCCACAGCCCTGGCCCCTCGAGTTTTCTTTGAGAGATGCTGGCATCTCCGTCCTTACTGTTTAGATGTAGCTGGTTGCCAGCCCAGAGCTGGTTTCCCTCCATTGCCAGCTGATTCTTCTGCTACTTCCTACTTTCCTAAACCATCCCATCTTGTAACAATGAGAGGCAAACACAGTGTAAGTTGGAGAATAACTGTTACAGTTGCTGACATTTGGTTAATCAAGTATTGACCACCACAATTTATTACTTAAAGTCTCATTTAGGAGCAGGTGTTTATCCTACTGGTTAAGGCAGCTGTGTTCCACATTGAAGTCCCTGAGTTTATTTTATTATTATATTTTATTTTAAGATTTATTTTATTTATTTGAAAGTCAGAGTTAGAGAGGTAGAGCCAGAGAGAGAGAGAGGTCTTCCATCTACTGGTTTACTCCCCAAATGACCACAGTGGAGCTGAGCTGATCAGGAGCCAGGAGCCTCCTCAGGGTCTCCCATGTGGGTGCAGGGACTCGGGCCATTTTCTACTGCTCTCCCAGGCCATAGCAAAGAGCTGGATTGGAAGTAGAGCAGCCAGGACTCGAACTGGTACCCATATGGGATGCCAGCACTGCTGGCCAGGGCTTTCACCGGTGTGCCACAGCGCCGGCCCCAAAGTCCCTGGGTTTAATTCTGAGCTCCTGATTCCAGCTTCCGGCTAACGCACACCCTGGGAGGCAGCACACAGTTGGCCCAAGTAGTTGGTCCCTGCCACCCACGTGAGAGAACTGGATCGAGTTTCCAGCTCTGGGCATTGCGGGCACTGGGGAGTGACGCAACAGACGGGAGGTCGTGCTCTTGCTCTCTCCCCTGCACCTCTTAAGTAAAAAATTGGAAAAAAGGTCAAATTGGAAGTGGCACATGTTTCTGCCATTAGATAAAGCAAGACAGGGGAGGCTTCTTCCTGGTCCTTAGGTGGCTGAGCTATGAGTGATGATGCTTTGCCACCCAGTTTGCCTAGAGCAGGTTTGTGCCAGTAATGAGATACTTGTAATGCTGGAGAATTGGGATGTAGAGCTGTGCAGACAAAGCCGCTGTGGAGGAAGGCATGAGGTACGTAGTAGAGCTTCCTGCTTGGTCACTCTTCACAAGAATAGCTCTCTTTGCTGACTTGGTGTTGATCTGTGGAATGTACTTAGAGTGCTCATGTTATTAACTGCCATTCATTTAGTATTTGTTCCTTATCGCATCTTAACTTTGTTCTGTTCTGTTCCTCAGCTATGTTTTGGGATCCTCTGAAAAACGGATAGTGTCAGACGATGAAGAGCTGTTTAATCTTGAAAGCAGAGTTGAAATAGAAAAGTCTCTAAAACAGGTAACTTTTTCTGCACATTTTCTATCCTTTTGTGAACAGCTTCTATCAGTGAACAAGTGCTCTTTGTGGTGCCACCTGCTTGTTTTTTTGTTTTTTGTTTTTAACATTGATTTATTTATTTGAGAAGTAGAATTACAGAGACAGGTCTTCCATCCGTTGGTTCACTCCCCAAATGGCCGCAGCAGCTGGAGCTGGGCCAACCCAAAGCCAGGAGCTTCTTTTGGGTCTCCCGCGTGGGTGCAGGGGCCCACGTACTTGGGCCATCTTTCTACTGCTTTCCCAGGCCATAGCAGAGAACTGGATTGGAAGAGGAGCAGCTGGGACTCAAACCGGCGCCCACAGGGGATGTTGGCTCTGCAGGCCGAGGCTTAGCTACTTCGCCGGCCCCATACCTGCTTGATCTTAGCATTTCCACACTGGGAGTTCATGTTGATTTTTGGGAACCAACCATGAACTCAAGTTGATGAAGTGTAAGGAAGACATCTCATGCCAGAGTTAAAGCAGTCTGTATCCCAAAACTTAAACTGGAAATCCATCTTTGAATGAAGTCCCTTTTTTATTTGATCCAGTTCTTGTGGTATAAACAGCTTCACTGTTGAATGTTAACATCTTTTCATGGCCAGATAGGCAAGATGGTGGGGGCGTGTTCAAAGGAACTGTAAACAGACTGTAGGTTGAGAACTACTGTTAATAGAATTACGTGTGATTTATTTATTATGTCTTATTTAAATCAGATCTATGCCTCTGAGTAGTTACGTCTTACAAATACTGAATAGTCAGCATGTGTAATGCATGAAATGTTCAAAACTGTGTTCACATCGCGCGTGTTAATCGCACACAGTCCCGCGTGACTCTACTGTGTTTGTATTCTCTCTGCTCGCTAGATGGAAGAGGTGCTGCAAGGCCTGCAGAAGCAGCTGTGCGAGGTGGAGTCAAAACTCTGCTCTCCCGGCTGCAAGAGCTGAGCGCTCAGTGAGCAGAGCTGGGGAGTTACCTGGACGGCTGTGTGTGGTGCTGAAGTGACTGTTCCCACGTTCAAGTGTTCCAGCCATTTTACGGAATTGAAATTTAGGAGTTTTTATTTTGGTAAGAAGCTAGGATGGTTTCTGAACTGTTTTCTCCTCTGGTCAAATTCCTTGTCCTCCATTTCCTGTTTTTTTTAAGCTAACTCACTGCTGATGCTTTGGCTCGTCCTATGGAACATTGAGAAAGCCTTGGAGGTTCCCGCAGCCGGAATGGCCGAGCGCTCTCTGGGGAGAACGGACGCGCACGGCCCTCTGGGGAGACGTGCCGTGTGGGTGACTTTGTCCTGTTGATTTACTGCTGCGGGCTACCAGTCTGGGAGACACGGAGTGCAGGTTGTCAGTGTGTGTGACGCAGGGCTTTCACAGAGAGAACGGGGTTATTTGTATAATGGGAAAGAGAATAAAGACGAAAGCACAGCGCCTTCAGATTGCCTTTCACCCGGCATCACAGATCCCGGTGCCACAACACACGCACTGCTGAGCGTGGCACTGGGCACCGTGGCGGCCCCTTCCTGCTGCTGGCTATGGACGGGGTGCTCTGCCTCTTCCTGGAACTTGAGAAGGCGTTCCCCAGAGGACGCTGGGTTCCTGAGCCCATCACAGCACAGGGCCCACGTCCGGGGCTTGATCAGTTCACCAGTACTGGGTTCTTCTTGTGACGTCGTCGAAACCTGCTAGTCCCACGTGGCACAAGCGAGCCCTCTCCGTCTCCTTGCTCACAAGCTCGCCGCCAGGTGGAACGTGGTGTCACGAAGGCAGCATCAGTCCCTGCCGGCCGCCAGACGGCCGTCCAGCCTCAGGAAGCTTGCCGGGCCCCGGCGGCACCTGTGCGAAAGCTCGCTCTGAACAGGCGTGCCAGTGAGTTCACACTGGTTTCCACTAGCTCAGCGGTCAGTGCAGGGGCCACGCCCCCTAGTCCCGCGCACCTGTCCACCCTGGGCAGGCGGGGCTGTGTGCTGTTTGTAGCCAGCCACCCATCACGAAGAGCGTTTCTAATCTCCATGGCGCTAATTAACGAAGCCCTTATTGGGGAGCACAAGAGAAACGTGGCTCAGGTTGCCCATGTGGCTCCCTCCCAGGGGGACTTTGCTCCGCTCCCCACCCCTGCGTTCAGATGTGTGCACCTCCATGCTAGCCCACACCCGCCATGCCACACGGTTGCAGCGAGCCAAGCCTCTGAAGGCCGGTCCCTGGACGGTCTCAGAGGGGCTGTCCTCAGCCTTGGCCTCCTGGGATGTCCCTGCAGGAGGGGCTTTGCCGCTGCTGTAGGAGCGGGGTCTCTGAGGCTCCCAGACTGCCAGCCTGAGGGGTCTCCACCCAGAGCCTCCCCCTCTGGGGGCCCCTGCAGGACTGGTGCTCCTGGCTCTGTGTGAGGTCTCATCCTAGGGACTGGTGCTGTGGCGGAGGAGGTAAGGCATCCTTCGCGGGCGTCGGTTCAAGTCCTGGCTGCGCCACTTCTGAACCAGCTCCCTGCTGTGGCCTGGGAAAGCAGTACAAGATGGCCCCTGCACTGTCATGGGAGACCTGGAAGAAGCCCCTGGCTTTGGCTTGGCACAGCTCTGGCCGTTACAGTCATCTGGAGTGAACCAGTGGAAGAAAGATCTCTCTCTCTGCCTCTGCCTCCCTGTAACTGTGCCTTTCAAATAAATAACTTAAAAAAAAAAAAACCTGTCATAAATCTACTGTGGATCTGTGGGGCTCCCACACGGCCACGCCAGCATCCCCCGTGGGACAAGTGGCTGCCTGGGCAGGGCGTGCCCGCCTGCAGGGTTCTCTGCAGGTGCTGGGCGTTTACCACGGGCAAGGCCGGGAGGCAGGAGCCACGGCACAGCAGCCTCAGGCGCTCCGGGCCGAAGGAGCCTTGCATGACGCTCCCTGCGCTTGCCTTTTGAGGGAAGGTCCCGGATGGAGCAGTCGGAAATGGGTGGGCGGCCTGGGGAGACTCCTGGGGGTGTGTTGTGGCTGTTTGCCCGATCCTCCTGCATCTGTCAGGGAGGATCCGATAGGAGGCTTTCCCAGGCGTGAGCTCCCCTCCCCTTTCTCCAGCAAATGGAGCTCTGTGAGTTCCCGCACTGCGTCTGTAGCCAGCAGTGCATGAGGGCGTGTGGGGCCGGGTGAGCCCACGGTCCCGCTGCCACCTCTGGCCCCTTGTCGGGCAGCTCTCGGCTCAGTCTCATCCCTCCCTCTCTGTCCATTGCTCCCCTAGCCGTCGGTGTCCCTTGCTTGCATCACTAATGTTTGGATCCCTCTGCTGTAACCCGGTGGATACCCTGTTGTGAAGTGTGTCTTCCCACGGCGGTCACTGCAAAGCGCACAGCACGGGTTCTCTCTGTCTGTGCCTGGAGGCCTTGATCTGCCCAGAGTGGCCTCCTGCTCTGCCTCCCGTCAGAACTCCGTGCCTTCCACCTGCCCCTTTGCTCTATGTGCAGCTCTAGCTTGTCCTCCACAGCCCTGCTCGAATGCCACCTCCTCCAGGAGGCCCTTCCTGACTGCTCAGCAGGAAGTACTTTTCTCCCATTTCATTCCTGATGCTCTGCCGGATGTTCTTGCTTCATGACTTGGGTTTTGCATTCTGGTTTTAAGGGGACGTTTCCTGCAGGAGTAGATTGGCCCTCCCCCCAACCCCCGCCCGCCAAAACCCAGCCTGTGCAACCTTGTACACTGGGGTACTTTTTAAGTGAGGAAAGTAGTTTTCATCTCCTACCGGCTGTGTGGATCAGTTAGTATGGAGCTCCCCCCCCCCCCCAATCTAAACTCAGAAACACGGTGTTATCGAGGTGTTCTAAATGGCGTTAATATTTCAGAGTTGACATAAGAATAAAAAGAAACCCAAAGTGCAGTGGTGGTGTGGGGTTAGCATGACTTGTTAGCGTGTAAATAGGAATTCAGGGGAGAATTACCAAATCGAATCCATTTGCATGTGTAATTACCCACCTGTGATCCGTCTATGGTCGTGTGGGTTCCGCCTTTGTCCTCCCACACCATGTTAAAAATACTTGGTATTAAATGATTTTTCCCCCGTAAGCGAATACAGTGATTCTTGGAACTGGGACGGGAGAAGAGGTGGGTGAGTGCAGCTTTGCACCGGGGGCAGGGCGCGCGCCTCCCTGTGCTGTGAGAAGCCAGCAGGCCGCCGGCGATCTGGCCGCGAAGGGCGCTGGAAGCATCGGGCTGGGTTTGGGGAGTCTGATGCGGGACACGAGGTGGAGGTGCGCTTGGTGCCCGCCCGCAGGGGCTGCTCCCTCCAGGCAAGCGAGGGTCCCACTCGGGTTGAGAAGGCGTCGGGGCCGGGCTGTCCTCGAGGGACGCACCTCGCGGTGGCTTCCCGGGCTCCTCCGCGTCTGGGTGTGGGAAGGAATTGGGCAGGAGCAAGGCGGGAAGAGCCCCAGGCCGCTCCAAGGGCAAGGTCCTGGCCGCAAGGGCTCTGGGCAGCTGTCAGGGGCGCGTCCCCCGGGCACACTGCCGTCACGCAGACCCTCCCCGGGGCTCCCACGAGGCCCAGGTGTCTCCGTCGCGCCTCTGTTTGGGCACGATTATGAACTCCCCTGGTAGCCTGGCGGTTTTTCCAGCATCCTGTGAAATAGGGCTCCCAGGCTGTTCGATTCGATTTGTTCCAGAGTTAGCCCACAAGGGGTCGCCTTTCTCCACATAAATATTCACCGTGCGCAGCCGGTTCGTGGGCACGGTGGGGTGGGGACTGCAGGAGCCGCCTTCCTGGTTGCCTCTACTCCACGGAGTTGGATCCTCCACGCTTGCCACCCAGCTCCTTCCTAAAGCAGTGCCCAAGGGCTGTGCCCCAAGGCTGGCTACACGGTTCTCCCACAGCCATTTCCCCCAGAGTCTGATTTTACCAGGGGCGGTAATCATGGTTTCCTAGTGACTCGGGTTCATCCGAGTCCCCGCCCCCAGTGCTCTCTGAGCCCTCACGGGTTGTTTGCCAGCTGGCTTTGGAACTGCCAGCAGAGAGGCGTCGGGCTTCTGAGCAGGGAGTTTCTGGTCCCCTTGCTGAAGTGTCTGACCACGAGACTCCCCGGGGAGCCACAGCGTCCCCGGAACCACCCGGGAGCCAGTTTCCCTCCCTGTGGGCCGGGGCATCCAGCGCTTACTGTTCACCTCGGCGCACTTCCCCACACCTCACGTCCAGACCTCGACAGTCGCGGCCCCCCACATCGCCGCACTCAGCCAGCCACAGATGGAAAATATTCGGGGAAGAAATTGCAACTGTGCCAAACACGTATATATTTTCCTTTTCCTTGTTGCTATTCCTCAAACAATGCAGTGCTCACAGAGCGGCCAGTTGCATAGCACTTACAGTGTGTTGATGTTACAAAGCACACGGGAGACGGAGTGGACACTCAGCTTCGTAGGGAAGACGTCCAAGCACGTGGCTCCTGGCTCCAGGTTCCTGCTAGTGCAGACTCCAGCGGGCCATGGTCTGGGTTCCTGCTAGCCCTGTGGGAGACCTGGATCCCATTCCTGGCTCCCAGTTCCTAACTTGGGGGCACTTGGGGAGGGAACCAGTGGATGGGTGGGCTCGCTCTCCCTCTCTCTCTGCCTCTCTCGTAACTTTTAATTTAAAAGTATACAAGAGGACGTTCGCTGGTGCATGCAAATACTGCACATGGGACTTGAGCATCTGTGGGTTTGGGTAGCTGTGGGGAACTTGGACCCAGCCGCGCTCAGATACTCAGGGACAACTGTGTATTGTGTGTCCGTCTCCGTTTGATGAAGCAGATTCTCTTCATGCTTGCGCACCAAGTCGTCCTCAACACAATGCAGCGGATGCCAAGTGAGGGGTCTGCGAGATCCCACCAGACTGGGAAACCTGGAGCCTGGGGGTGCGTCCCGCTCTGCCTCCAGCCAGCGAGGAGCCACTGCCACTCCTGGGGTCCCAGCTCCAGCCTCGTTTTCTCATGTCTGTGATGAGGAGGTTGGACGTGAACAATCCGTACATTTCCTCTTAAGATGAATCTAAAATGTTGTGTTGGTTAAGAACAGGATGATCGGACCGGGTGCTGTGTTGTGACGGTGAAGCTGCAGCCTGTGACGCCGGCGTCCCATATGGGCACCAGTTTGTGTCCCAGCTGCTCCACTTCCCGTTCAGCTCCCTGCTATGGCCTGGGGACAGCGGCAGAAGATGGCTCAAGGACTTGGGCCCCCGCCACCCACCTGGGGGACCCGGATGAAGCTCCTGGCTCCTGCCCTCGCCATTGTGGCCTTCGGGGGAGTGAGCCAGCAGATGGAAGATTCTCTCTCTCTCTATAACTCTGACTTTCAAAATACATACATACATAAATAAATAACAGGATGATCACCCCTAATCTGAAACATCTGAAACCGTTTCAAAGCTGAAAATTCTTCACGTGACCTCAGGCTGTGTGTACAACACAGAAGAATTTCATCTCATCACGCATGTAGATACCCCAAAAGTCGAACAAATCCGAAATCGAAGATTTCGAGTGGTTTGGGTCAGGCATCCTCGGGCTGTGCTGATTTGAACCTCGTTCCAGCAGCCGACAGAGGCTGGCCGGGGCACCTGCGGGCTGATGGCCGGCGACAAGACCTGCCCTTTGGAGAACCGAGGCCCGGAGAGAGGCTCGGGTGGCGGCACGCCCACGTCTGCCGCTGCTGTGTGCTTAGTGGTTGTAGGTGGCTGGCAGGTGGCGTGTCTTGAAGAAATTCATGAATCAGCGCGTGGAATTCTGAATAGAACGAAAACACGGGTCCGGGAACGCTTTCTTTAACAGCTCGCCTGGTCGCCAGCATTGCGCCCAGCATGTTAATTGCTAAAATGCCCTGTTGATTTCTTTTGTCGCTGCTCACGTGGCTTCCAGTGAGCAGAAGGGACATGTCTGGCGGTGCTCGGCGTCTCCCGGGCTCGCCCCTGCCCGTCGCTGCCTGCCTTGAGCAACGTCACAGCCAACCCAAACTTAATCAGCCTTGGATGGCAGCCACGGAGGCAGGCGGGCAGACTCCCGTGGCTCCTGCCCGCTGCTGCCACCACCGTCACCACTGGGCAGGGTTTCCATGGCAACAGCTGCTTTCTCTCCACAAGCAGGAAAAGCTGGGAGACCCCACTCTCGCTGTGGCTCCAGGAGAGCCCAGCCTGTTTCTGGGTGCGTCTTCCCCACATCTGATTCTCCCTCATCCCCAGCGATGGCAAGTTGGAAAAGCACATTCACTCTCCATCCTGCAAGGCGCGCCCCGAATGCGCGCACGATGAAGAGGTACAGAGCGAATGTGCTCACGGAGAAGGGAGATTCTTGCAGGCACGCAGCAGCGTGGCGAAGATTAGCATGAGCCAAGGGGCAGAGGCGGCTATGGCGCCAGGGGACTGTCCTCACCCAGTGACAGTCTCATTGTGAGTAGGACAATGACAAGAGAATTAGGGGGACTTCGAATGATGCAGCTGGGATGACGGACATGAGCTGTCCCAGGCTCTCCAGCGAGGATGTCACTGCCCGGGAGCCCCGCGGTGAGCAGTCCCTTGAACAAAGGCTTCATTGGCGAGCCCAGAGCCCAGCGAGGCTCTGCCACACAGGACCATTCCAGGTCACCTGATGCCTTTCATTCAGGGGGGATGGGAGAGAGGGCTGGGACCTGTGGGCAGCCTGGACTGCAGCTCCGGGAGGCGGACAGAAACGAGACCAGGAGTTTTGCACTGGTCGGCTTTGCAGGAGCACCGTTTGGTGGCTGGGTCTGTGGACTTGTTTATTTATTTGAAAGACAGCATAGACAGAGATCTCGCCATCCACTGGCTCGTTCCCCAGATGCCTGCTACAGCTGGGGCTGGGCCAGACTGAAGCCTGCAGCCAGGAACTCGGACTGGGCTCCCATGGCAGTGGCGGGGACCTAAGCATTTGAGCTGCCTCCTAGGGTGTGCGTGAGCAGGAAGCTGGAATCAGGAACAGAGCCGGGACTTGAACCCAGGCACTCTCCTGTCCCAAGCGGCATCTTAACTGCTGTGCCCTGGTCAGCGGGTTTGCGGCTGGGAAGTGGAGAGTACAGGAGCGACAGCTTCGGTCCCAGAAGTGGCGCTGAGGTTCTGGGGGAAACCGTCTCAACACGAGACGAGAAACCCAGGAACCAAGTCTCTGGTGAGGAGTCTTCTGTCTCCTGAAGGGTGCGACATGTCTGTTACACAACAAGTGAGCGAATAACCCTGCAGAGCTGCCCTGTCACGCTAGTACGTACACTTACGTGCAAACACGTTTGTGCTTTAACCCGATGAGGGCTCCTGACACAGCAGTCTCGACACTTTAAAAAATACCCAAGAGGCTGGCGCCGCGGCTCACTAGGCTAATCCTCCACCTGCGGCGCCCGCACCCCGGGTTCTAGTCCTGGTCGGGGTGCCGGATTCTGTCCCAGTTGCTCCTCTTCCAGGCCAGCTCTCTGCTGTGGCCAGGGAGTGCAGTGGAGGATGGCCCAAGTGCTTGGTCCCTGCACCCGATGGGAGACCAGGAGAAGCACCTGGCTCCTGGCTTCGGATCAGCGCAGCTCGCCAGCCATGGTGGCCATTTGGGGAGTGAACCAACGGAAAAAAATGAAGTCCTTTCTCTCTGTCTAACTCTGCCTGTCCAAAAAACAAACAAACAAACAAACAAAAAAAAAAAAACAAGAAATGTACTTTTACTGTGGGTAAGAATGTAGAAGATGTAGGTTATGAAGACCATAAAATCATCCACAAGTAAAGGAAATGTGGTACAAGTATACAATAGAGTATTACTCAATCGCGACAGGAAAAACAGAATGCC